CCCCCCCCCCCCCCCCCCCCCCACCAACCCACCCCTCTTAAAGGCCCAATAGTGACATAGTTCGGTCATTCTTTGTCGAATGCTTTCAACATCTTCACGAGACAACGCGTTGTTTAGACTAAGAACGTTTTTAATAACCAATTCGGCTGCGATATTTCCTTCTGCGCTCTTCCAACTTTAGTTTTGAGCACAAAAATCCTCTGACCATTTAGCCAAAAACGCCTGAAATTTTGGATGAAAAATCAACTGGTCTGGAAAATTACGGAATAACAAGCAATTAAAGCATTGAATTTTTTTATTGCTAATCCCTTCCCTTAAGGTACCATTTATTTTTTACAAGGCTTAAGAACTAACTTTAAAACTTCAATTTTCTCCATGTTCATGTACATGTACATCAAGGAGAGACCACAGGCCCATTCAAACCGTAGCTTGACATGTGATCAAAAAACGGTAGTCACGTGTTTCAAATGGTTTTACCACGTGATGCATTGTCAAGTTTGAAATAAACTTGCCGCCTATGATTAATAAAATCATGGCCTTATGCAAGGTGTGACAAGCTGGCTATGCACTGTGACAGTAAATACAAGATTTCTTTATCATTAATTCCTGTTAGACAGCAAAGTTAAAAATCCTATGCAAGGAATCTTTCAGGATTTAGAGGGATATGTACCATGCCCCTCCTGAAGTTGAATGTAATTACCTCTCACTGCCCAGTATTACCCTCTTACTACAGTGTTCAAGGGCTAAAATTTGGTGTCGTGACATTATGATACCATAAAGAGTCTTCTACAAACCAATGCAGCAATAGACACAGCCAGGACCCATAATACAATTAACGAGGCCATGCTGCTTTGCGTCACGCGAGGCTGTGTTTGGATAACAGAACTATTACCCTGAGAAAGATTTCCTGCCAGCGGAGGAGTATTTTGTCCCACAGTAGAATGATTGACAGCAGTCCTTTGACGTACACTACTAGCTGTGCCACTATCTCCTGCATTCTGATTGGCTGGTAAAGGAACGCTGCCTGTCTGATTAGGCAACACTGTAGAAGGTGGTGCAGTATTTTGATGAGCTTGTGCCGCTAGAGGATTTGCATTCATCATGTTGTACATTGGGTATCCTGTTGCATAATAAGGGTATGCTGACTGATAGGAGGCATAGTACTGTGGAGGTACGCCCATAGGTGAAGCTCCCATCTGTGGACTAGCCATAGAAATAGATTCTGTTGTTGCAGCCTGTGACTGGATTGTTTCAGTAGGCACTGGTGTTGCTGTGGTTTTATCAGAGGTTTTCTCCTTTTCATTCTCTCCCTGAGAAGTTGAGTACATAGAAAGATGGCAACTAGTTAACACAGTGCAAAGCATAGGAAATTACTGAGTTGAGACGAAGGGTGCTAATGACCTGTCTGACCAACTGTTGTATTTCTGATCCAACTGGATCAACTGAGGAGAACAGCTCTTGCCATTTTCAATTCCTTTGCTCAATTCCTCTCATAAGCGAAAATCTACTGAAGTAGGGTAACAAACTGTTTTTTTTTTTCAAAATGGAACGACAAATTTTGAGCTGACTGGTCTATTTGGTTGAAGTGGACTTCCTTCAAATCTGGCCTTTTTCACTTGACATTTTCTAGTGAGACCATACTTACACTTTCATTTTATTTCCATCTCAATTTCCAGAATATTTGGCACAGTAGAAAGCACCCAAAGGTTAAGAGGGTATTGTCACACCCAATATGAAATGCTGGTCCATCACAAGCATTAACATTTTGTCTGGGTACTCTGACAATTCACTGATACCCATTTATGCACGTGGATGGAGAAAAGCCCTTAGAGTGTTAAATGTCATATTTACCCAAGAACACAACACAATGTCATGCAGACTGTGACAACTTACCTTAAAAGTGATCTGTGCTGCTAACTCTGCAGCTTCTTTCTCTGCTTCTTTAGATGAATCACCTGATATTAACATATTTATTGTGAGTTGTGATGTCTATCAATATCAAAAATCCATGCCACTTTTGATGCTGTGATACACGTAGTTAAAAAACGACTTCAAACTTAGCTGGAAAGCACAATTTCAACAGTCTTCCAAGCAATCAGTAACAAAAATAATGCACCATGTACTGGAAAATATACTTAACACCTCCACATATAAATGGCAAAGCAAGAATTACAAAGCAAACCTGAATTAAAGCATAATTATACATACCAGTAGTCTCTCGCAGAGCTGTCCTAATACATATGCCACAACCATTGCACTTCCACTCAAGTGACCTTAATACAAAAAGCGTTGTTCAATTCAGTAAGGTTTGTCAAAAGAAACTCATATGCGAGCAGTAATCTGGTTAGAAAAATAGTCTCAAAACATGCTACTTCAAACAGACACGACAACAGACAACTGTCAAAAGAAATACCATATATAGACAATTGTGTGTCTATATATAATAATAACAGTCTGATGAAACAGGATTTCTAAATTTTCCTGACCAGCTACTAGGCAGTTGTGAAGGATACTATTCATTGATAACTTCTTTGAATACAAGTAAGTAAATCAAGATTACAGTGATGAAACAGTAAGTTGAAAAATATATGACACAGCACACTTACTTTTTTGCCAGAACCTTCCTTTCCTGTGGAGTGTAATCCAGTGAGCCTATTGCTCCGGCTCCTTGAGTCGGCATGAATCCAATCAATGCCATGAGCACTGTGCGAACTGTCAGAGGTAAAAATGAACATGTTCAGTATCCACATTGAATTACAGGAGTTGTGTCAAAATAGTCACATGTCTCAATTTGCCCGTTTTGTGAGAGCTGTCAACTGTCAAAATTAACACAATCATACATTCAGTATCCACATGAATTATGCAACTTGGAAAAACGTTTCGTTGCATGTTTTGAACCAAAGGTCCATGTACACTGAACTGTTTGGGATAAAGCTACAGGGTAATGTCATCATAATGCAATTTTTCAGTGGCCAATTCTCACACATTTCTCGTATGGGAGGAGAACTGAAATTACCGGGTTAACTTATCGATAAAGTATTGAGGCTAACTTTTCTCTCAAATTTTGCACAAGACTGCAGGGAAGCTCTGTTTGCAGGGTGTACTGTAGCTGTAGAAATCATGCATTAAACAAACTAAAAACTCCACTCAGTACTTACTGCTCCACGATGGCTGCCATGTTTCAGGATGGTGGGCTGACATACTTAGACAGATTTTCTTCCCTACTTCAAATCGACCATTTGGCTGAAAAAAACAAAATCAAGAAATTCACGATTTAATTAAGTCAAAACAACCTTGCAATGGTATTAGACTTTGATACAGGGTTCTCACAAAGTGCCGGCCACTGGCTTAAAAAACAGTGACTTTGATCTCTGAGCCACCTTCATGTATTATTCATGAAATAAAATGTGCGTAAGTTGCAAAGAGTACATGCCATTTAGGGAAAACACAGGGTTTTTTGGAATGTGACTGAACCTTGACTGTCTTTGTCTCAGGACAGTCAAGGCTGTAGCTAGAGAGGGGGCATGGGTTCAGGGTGTGCTGTACGTTTTCAATTACATGTATGCTAGTGTTGTAGGATAAAAATAGAAAAAGTCTTTATAATCCCTTAATATTCTTGGCATTTTGACCTTTTCAAAATTGATTTGTTTACTAGGAAATATCTCCAAGAGAATGTGTATAATTTAGCATTTCAGAGCCTCATAATATTTAAAAATATTCTGGGGAAACATTCCCCCAGAGGCTTGTCCCTTCCGTGTCAGCTGTCTATGCCATGAAACAAACCCTCTACTCCAATAAGGACGGAATTAGCTACTTTAGTTGTGCTTTCATTGTAACCAAAAATTCCAGAACTTTTGAATTGGGGTAAATAGTGCTGAATTTTTAGGGAAAGTTTCCACAAATCTAAAGATTGTTCACCACTGGAAATTTCTAAGAATTGAAACTGGAATTTTGAATGGAAAGTGTCTTAGTAGGTCATGATGGCTGGGATGCCTGGGAACCTGACTCCCATTTAACTTCAAAGGCATGTTCCAAGGTAGTTCTTTGGAAATGCTGGCCAAGAAAGGGGGGAGGTACTCCTATATATGCGCTATACAGGTATGTGCCACGGGATAGGGTAGGGTTTCTGAGGTTCTTGATCCTTAAAAGAGTATCATTTCTGCATAAGGTACTTAAATTGTATCAGCTAAAATTGCTGTACGTAAATGTCCAGCTAAATGAACAACAACTGACCTGAACTTTACTTTCCGTTAACTTCCATTGTTACAGAAACGAAATAAAGTTGACCATCCTGTTCACACTATTCTTAGTTTTTGATTTTCCCTGGAACAGGATATAATTTTTTGGATTTTGATCTTAAATAGGGTATCCGTAATCATTTGCTTCTTCCTTAAATAGGGTCAGGGTTTAAGACCCTTCGCAGCACACACCCACCCTGAATTTACAGTAGTACCCCCCCCCCCTAGGAATGCTGGCCATAAAAACATTTTTAAAACAAGAAGTCTCTGTTATTGAGAAAGCAGTTAAAATATGACAAGAGGTCCAGTCTGTGAGAAACGGGCTTTACTCTGGGAGTTTGTCCTCACAATACTCACCGTTAGTAACATAATACTGGGTGGCTTCATGGGATACTCAGGTGGTAGGGTTATCCGGCCATGATATCGTCCACCAGCAAAATCGCTGTCAGGGGGGCCACGCACAGTGAAGTGCCACTCAAACAAATTATCCTGCCAAGAGTAACCACTCATGTTAGCCTGGCCCCAATAAAATGCTTGAAGGCTGAATAACTCTATCCACCGGATAAATCGCTATCAAGTGGATAAGTGTTAACAAAACAAACCATACTATCTCCAGGATAGTGATTCATCCTGTGGCCCAGCCTGTTGTTTTACATCACATATCCCTACATACATGTATCAACTGGTAAGGAGTGACGCAAGGCGTTCTTGCTGAGTGACATCCCAAGCTGTACATGTATGCTTGTAAACTATTTGAATATCACATTTTATTTTTAAATACTTCAGCTATCACGTATATCGACTGTGTGGCTGTGATATCGGCCTTTATAGATTGCCAACAACAACTGACAACAATCGCCGATTGGTGTCCATTGACATAACTTATATCAATTAAATTCTGAGTAACCAGAGGTCGCATACCCTTAGTAAGCTTGTAGTAAATGAACTTGTTTGTAAATATGCGTAAATTAAATTCCGGCTTTCACATAAATGTTTAGCACAAGTCGCGATCGCAGCGATTTTTTACCTCGAGGGGCTGGGCAAAATAGAGCTCTGTTGGTTCATTAAGTTCCTTGGCTTCCCTCATCAAGCGTTTGACGCCTGAAAATGAAGAGGAAACAAAACCATAACAATCCAACTCAAACCACCTTGATACCTTCGAGAATCAGAAAATTGTTTCGGAGTTTTTTCACTGTCTTAAAATTGCCTCGTCTGCAAAGTTCTACATAAATGCCTACCTGGGCTTCTTAAATTATATTTTGCTTCCATCTTGCAACAAGAAAGCGAAAGTCGTCCTTTGGAATGAATAAACTATGGAGAAGTCCACACGTTCATTTTTGTTCCTCTATCGGTTTGTGAGTCTGTCTACGTGTCGAACACTGCGAGGAACAAGTCAGCGTCCACACTCGACCCAGTCCTGCACGGTGTCTCACGAGGTTTGTCACGCAATCGTCACCCATGTACGCCACAGGCAGACCAAGCACGACCCTAGTATGCTAATGCAAATGCTGCAATCTGATTGGCTTAGCTACTCGTATACTATTAAGCCATTATAGTTCGCCACTAAATTTTCTCCCATTCTCATTGGTTTTAACTGATCACGTGACGCGTTAGTGTGTTCATCCGCGGAGAGGCACTATCAGCCCATAGTGCCCGTCTGAGGAAAATACCAGGATGCTCAGAAAATTAATTTTTCCGTAACAAGCGGGCTACTAGAAAATAAGCAATTGAAATTGTATTAAGTGGGTTTTTGTCTTTTTTCTTTTTTTTTTCAAATTTTACATTTGACGTCAACGGCTTTCATCTATTAATAATAATTCAATATGATTTTTGAACTAGCGCGCTGAAGAAAGTTTAGTGGTGAATAATGAAGACAATAGAGTGTTTGTCTCGGAACTATCGGTCTGATAGCTGCCCCTTCGAAATTTGATGATCTTAAAACTAGCATATTTGCCCTCGAAGCTTCGCTTTACGGGAAACTATTTGTTTTAAGAACATCAAATTTCCACGGGGGCAACTGTCACTGAGCCGATAGTTCCTCGACAGAAACACTCTATTCTTTGAATAGAGATATCAAGCTCATAATCTAATTGTTGATTGTGATTATGCCTAAACATCGACTGTAACAGTTCGATACAGTTTTTTTAATAAATCGAATCATATATTGTAATAAAATAACTCTTATTACACTTATAAAGTGTATTTAAAAGTGCTCTTATAGTGACTTCGGTTTGCTATCGAAAACGCCGACTTTTGTGATTTGTTAGAAAGAGAACAATCACGTAAATTTTGGATACGAGGTCATTTGCCTACTTAATCTAAAGGAAAACGTAACAACTTCTGTAGTCTCTGGGAAAGGAAAGAAATTGTTTATATGCACAAGCGCTAGATCCATGGAAAAACAGGCTATAAGATTCAGTGCGAGAAAGAGACAGAGCAAAATTGAAATTCGGCAAATAAAAAAAGCAACTGGACTTCTGTAACGGGACCGTTGCCCCGGATATCTCTGCTGGTAGCAATGACTGAACTGAGAGTGTGTCGTAGTGCAAAAAAAGTGAATACGTACATTTAAGTTTCTCTGAAGCGCGCGCGTCTCTGAGCGAGCGCGCGCTTCTCAAAACTTCCTCATATTATGACGTGTTGATTAATTGATTACTTAAACTTGAAAGTTTGTTCGTGGCATTTAATTCGCTTTTTTTTTTTTTTTTTTNCTCTGAAGCGCGCGCGTCTCTGAGCGAGCGCGCGCTTCTTAAAACTTCCTCATATTATGACGTCTTGATTAATTGATTACTTAAACTTGAAAGTTTGTTCGTGGCATTTAATTCGCTTTTCTTTTTTCTTTTTTTTTTTTTCCAGTTATGCTTGAAGAAGCTGCCGACAAATGTGCAGAAGGTTCAGATATGTTACCAAGTCTAACATCTCAGAATGGAGAATCTTCTATGCTACGAAGAATTCTCGGAAGCGGTGGAAACTCCGCCAACGCCTCTCTCGGGAGGAGATTGTCTTGGCGCAGAAGAAAAATGCACTTTGCGCAACGTATCATAAAAGCTGAACAAGCAGCTATAGATGCAGTTCTGGAGCCGGATACAGAAATGCCCGACGTGTTTAAAATTCAAAAAGAGCCACGCAGATCGGTACGCTTTGCCAATCTACAGAAGCTTCGCTCTGAACTTTCCCAGCAGTCAACTCCACACGATCTCTACAAGACTAACACCATCATTTCTGTCAAGGAGATGAAGTGCAATAAGCAACATGAAGTAGCCAGTGGTACGCTGGCAAGAGGCGGAGATGACCGGCCACTCAAGTCTCTCCACTGGAAAGCGCTAGGCCGAAGACATCACTGCGATGGTAATTCATTAAAATGCGAAAAGTGTAGGAGAGTGTTCGAAGTCAGAAAAGCCACAGAAAGATTTGAAGCTAAAAGAGCTGCTAAACAACTACTGCAAGAAAGCAACTGCAAACAAAAGGCCGAAAACGAAGTTTGTGAACTTGGAGGAGGTATACAGAGAATCAAACGAGAGGAAAGCTTCTGTAGGAATTTTTCCTTAACAAACGCTCGGACCAAGGTTCAGAGATCCAAGACTGGGCCACTGGCACACGAGGATGCTAACTACTTTTCTATTGGCGGTAACTCTAAATGGGCGCAGCCTGTCCTCTGTGAGATGCCGAAGGAGTTGCAAAAGAGTTTCCCTACTGAATATAGCCCGCGTGTTTCAACTCCTAGGCCTGTTGATGAAGAATTCAAGATGGAGAGAGATACACGGAAAAGCCTAAGATGTGTGTCTAGACTTAAGCTTATACGCGAGTATATGGATGACGAACCCGACTTTGAGTCTGAGGAAATAACGTCCTGGGACTTAGCACCCAGGTCACAGACAGACGTTGTTTTCACTCTTCCTTGCGTATGCCAACGAAAATTTGATGAGCCCAGGCCTCTAAAGCCAAGAATTTTATTACTTGATATGAGTTCCTGTGAAAGCGATGGCGCCACAAACCAGTTTGACAGCCGAGACATTGTGCCAGAACGCGAATTCAATCAAAACAGTATTTTAAGAATTACTGAGGTTATGGAAACCGAAAACACGGAGTGGGATAATCTGCATGTATTGGACGAAAAAGATGGAGAAACACACTCTGAAAGTGATTCCGAGGAATAACTCTTTCACTGAATTAACACGCGCGATGACAACACTAAAATTGTTAAACTCAGTATATGACTTTACTTTTTCCTAACATTTAGTAATCACTCATTGAATAAAGATACTGTTGACTCGTGCATATCCTTAGACACAGGGTACTGACATAATAGAAAAATTTGGGAACTCTGGATTTTTTGTCCGACAGGTTTTCACAAGCGATGACGATGGTCAAGCGTGATGATATAGTGAGTCCAGGATGTTCGCGAAAATTTCGATTTCTTGAACTGTGTGGGTCTCCGATCCTTTTCCCTACACGTTAGTGCTCGAAGTGGGGAGCTTGCAATCGCCGCCCTGCTCTTGTTTATCACACTCGACCATCATCACGTGAGCAAGGCTTCCGACACAAGTCCGGCTTGCACTCGGTCATAAAAAGTAAGTGCAGACATAGTTAATAGAGGGGAATGGTTATGAGGCCCTGGGCCCGGCAAACATCAAAGGAGTAGACAAAGATGCCAAGATTTATGTTGGAAGGTCTACGACCGTACACAGTCTTTTGTTTTGCGTTCATACACTATGCATGAGTCACGTAACCAAAACGTTTTTATCAATCTCGTTCCCAGAGCCCACGCGTCTTTTGGTCAGCGCCTGACCAAAAGACACGTGGGCTCTGGGAACGAGATTGCTTTTCTATTGGTTAGTTCCTCGGTCAGTAGTAATCAACTGTTGTGTTTTGTGCACGGTCAAGGCAAAAAAAAGAGAACAAAAGCACACAACAAAGAACTTTGTCGAGTTTCGTATAACCATTTCCTTCTATTAACTATGGTGCACAATATGAGTAAGGGCCTCAGCGCTGGCTTAAAGGACTCATATATATCTGCATCCTAAGGCCAGCCATTGGTTTCCACCAATTTTATTTCCACGATATTGTTGTGCAACGTGCATGTCAGTGCATTTGACAAACTTATTTTTTCAACAATGATTTTTATTCGCGCAGGTCATCCTCAAACCTTCACT